TGATTTTCTAATTTACCGATTCTGTGGAATTGTTTGTTATTTTTCTTGAAAATGGTTTCCAATTTGCTTTTATATAATCCCACGAAACTTTTAAAAGACGTATTTTCAGTGTTGAATTTGTAGTGAGCCACTTCAGGGTTTTTGTGCCACTTCTATCCCGACATGTGGTTATTTGTCATTTCCTAGGATGTTTCGTTCGCGACCCTAGGTTATGAAGAAAGCCGTGTTGTCATACGTCCATCCGTTGGATCTAATTGGTACGATAACCTGTCCCACAATCTTTATCGGGTCGTCTGTGAAGCCTCAGTACAAGTCTTTCGTAGCCTGGTCGACTTTGTTGATTTTCAAATGTGGATCTCGTAATCTGAGTTCGTGGAGTACGTTCTTTTTCAAAAACTTTATTGGGCTTGCTGAGTCCACCTGGATATTCATTTGTACGAAACTCTCCATTCTCAATCCAACGTTAAATGGTTTTTTCAATTCTTTTCAGTCGTTGTCAATTATTGTAGTCACAATTAATACCGAATAATCATCGTTATCGCTTTTTCCTGTTTCTGACCATGCATTAATTACCCCGCAGCACTCTTTATGTACATGGTTGATTACGACAAGGCTATTCGACGGATTTACAAGTTCGTTATTTAAAATTTCAGGAATTTTTACAAAACTTACGTTTCTTTTCTAGATATACATCTTTTAGTGGAATTTCCTTTAACATTACGTGATTTACAGATCACGTCTTTCGCTGTGCATTTAGCAAGATGTCCTTTGGTGAATTTTCCTCCACATTTCATACAAGAATTTCCTCTATCCACTGCCAGGGTAATTTCTCGTTTATTAAAATTTCGATGAATATTTACAGCATTTTTATTCACAGGGTATGAAGTTTAAAGCAATCTGTCATTTTCAAATGATTTGAGATACTTTTCTCATCAACTAAAGCGACATTTTAGGCTTTTTGTGCGGAGATTTTTGGTCAAAAATTGGGTCTGGATTTCGTAGCTTTTCATGTTGTTAAGGAAAACATTTCGAATCCATTCTTCCTCTCCACTGGATATGTCGCATTTCTTCGCCATTTCCGCTAGAGCGCCCCAGAAATGTTTTAAATTTTCTCTATATATCTGACGTCTATTGAGTAGCTTATGGCGTTCGAATGTAACATTGGTTTTCTAATAAAAGCTTGTTGTAGGAAATCCCAAAACTCGGCGAAAGTTATCCGTATGGTTTGAACTTAAGAAAACTTCTGTGAGAAGAATTTCTTACCCTCACTACCCAGTGCTAAATACAACATTGTGCGAATCTTCTTGTCCGCCTCATCCATTTGCATTCCGTTAAATGTCATTATTTCTAGTTTAATTCGGGCATTCTCAGAATCATTGAATCTGTTTCTTTCTTCAACGTTTCTTGCTAAGCGTTCTGTTTTTGCTGATATCGACTCGTTTTGAGGCTCTTCCTCTAATTTTAGGATCTCTGGTTTTAAAATCTCTAGTGGGATCAAAAAATTGTTGATATCGGTGCTCTCTTTCGCTATTAATGCCAATTGGAACATATCGGGGTAGGAGGTCAGTAGTTTGTGATTGCCAGAATAGGGGTATCACGCATGCCAGATTCATTTACAGATGACTGCGCAAAAACAAAATATACTACAACTTCATCAAAAAAAAACTTAAAATAAATAAAAGGTAAGAATAAGAGTTCAATTCAAAAAAGTGTTATTTCTATCTACGACACAATAACACTGCCTTCGCTCACTCTGGAGGAGATCACTTGCGGTAAGTCAAGATCATATAGACCAGTTAATTAAACGTAGACTAATTAAATAAGAACAATCACAACAAAGATTTCATACTGTTGATTTTCCAACTCATTATTATCATACTTATTTTTCAAAAATTTTTATTTGTTATAATAGATCTGTTTTTGAATTATTAGATCAGTTTAGAGATATTTCTGAAAAATCCATTTTATCCCCTCTTAAAGGAGTTTTAGGAGGGGATTGTACGTTAGATCCGTTGAGCTGGATTAGGGCTCTGCTATCGGTGAAATTTCTCAAAAATAGGTGAAGTTTTCATAATGCTATCTTCGAATTTCAGCTGACAAAAAACGAGTCGTTCAAAAAAATCGTTATAGCATTTTTTCAAACTTTGGACTGAAATTAATGAAAAATTATTACTGTTTTTTTTATTTAAAGCATCTAGATAATTCTAAATTGAACAGCTTGAATTTTTTCCTATCACAAAAACATTGGTATATTTTTAACGATAATTTTTCGCTGGGCAGTCGTTGATTTTTTTTTGGTCTAATTTCAAAGTTTCAGAAACAGTTCTCTTAAAGCAAAAAAAAATAGATTTGAAAAAAAACACTGGCTCATTTGATTTCCTAAGCTTTGTTTTTTTGCTCAAGAGTATTTCAATTCAAATTTCAGCTGATATGTTGTAATTTGTACACTTTATATATTGCTGAGCAATAGTGACTTCGTGTAATCATTTTTATGGTTGCTCAACACAGGATAGTGATTTAAAAAAGTCAGTGACATCAAAAAAAAAAGAAATATCTTTCAGAATTGACAAAACTGCCTCATAGATTAGATTAGACTGAATATCTTTTAAATCAAATCTGCGACGAAGTTTCTCAAAGTTTGTGTAATTTTTAAGTTTCCTTAAAAATTGATATTGTCTTTGGAGATACCTCGAAAAAAAATTTAAAAGTCTATTGTCCTAAAAATATCCTGTAACGATTTGAATTTTTTTTTTTCAGTTTCATTCACAAGATTCGACAATGAGAACAGCTGAACACTTTCTCCGCGAATTTAGTTCAGAGTGTAAACCGAGCGCAACACAATCATGACTCCGATTCGTTTGCGCTACTTTTTCTAGACAGAAGATCCAAAACCAAGTGTAAAGCTCAGGCTGCGGCTCCCGTTTACTCAAAGTTCACAGAAGGAAATAGTCTGAAAACTGTGTTCTATGAAAAAAGTGTTTGTTCAAAATTATTTGTAAAATGCTTGATAAGTATTCGAAAGAATGAATCAATTAGAAAAAGGGAACGGTTAAAGCGGAAAATGCGCCATAGAGGCGCGGTTTAGCAGAAGTATTCAACAAATAAGATCAAACTTTATGGGCACAGGTCACAAGTTCTTTTCTGATATTGAGAATACTATAAACACTTTTCAAACTGATTTGAACTGCACAAATGTGATTTATTTTACAGGGCGAAGTAAAACAATCCATGCTAGCTTAATCTAGTTACCCAATTGACCATAGTTTTTTAAAGTCAGCGACCTTAATTTCCCCATATTTATGATTGTTGTGAATCCCACTTGTCAAGTTTCAAAATTGCTTTGGATGCATTCATTCAAGTGAACTGATTTTTTAAATGATTTTTCCCTTAAAACAAAAGTCAGTTATTCTATTCTGCAGATGGGAAAAAGTTACTAATGAATCGAATTACATAACGGTTGAAAAACTTTTTCAAATTACGTTTTTATATTCATACAAACCTCATTTTGAGAAAACATACCATCCCGTACCCAGGGGATTTTCTGTGCAAGATCTGAAATTCTTCATTTCTTGCACAAGTTGATTCTCAGATCTGAAATTCCTTGTTTCAGATCGTGATAAGAATTGACAAATTTCAGATCTGAAATTTGGATCTCAAATGGAAAATTTCAGATCTGAAGTAACCTTGAAAAATAAAATTTCAGATCTGAAATTAGATCTGAGAATCTTTTGTTGAAGTATAATTTATGCATTTCGAGCAAAACATGGAATTTTTATTTTTTGATGTTTCTGCAATACACAATTATGTTTAGGTTAACTAGCGATCAGAAAAACTTCCAAATAAGACTTTGCTGAGTATCTGCTAGTAGCTAGCAGAAGCTAACAAAAAATCAAAAATACCTAGAATTGAGTCCAAATCATAGATTTTTCAGATCTGCAATAACCAAGAAAAACTAAATTTCAGATCTGAAATTAGATCTGAAATAGATTTTTTCAGATCTGAAATAACCAAGAAAAAGAAAATTTCAGATCTGAAATAACCAATCCTTAAAGTATCCAAGCGGTAATTAAACATTTCACAACCTATTTCAGATCTGAAATTTAGATCTGAAAAAGATTATTTCAGATCTGTTTTAGAAAATCTACTGGGTACGGGATACTAAGGCTGACATAGTTTTTTCAAATTACTTTTTTTTATTCATAAGAACGTCATTTTGAGAAACCTGCATCAAAATATGTTTCCCTATGAGATAATTACCTTCAAAATAAACCATAATTTTGATCATTACCTCGCTCGAAAGTAAATGAGAGTAGCAAGAGTCGAACAACAAAGTGATAAAAAAGGCGTAAATATGTAAGCACCTCGTCATTTAACACTGAACTATTTCGAAATAAGGTCATTACAATGCAAATCAGTTGTTTTTGAGACCAAAAGTCTATCGCTAGAATACATTCACATGGTGAGTCACTTGTTAAGATCAACAATACCTACCTCAGTTTAACAGTTTTGGTTGGTCAGTTTAACAATAGATCAATTGTAGTTTGAAGCACCTTCATGTTCATTTGTTACTTAAGAAGCCCTGTTTATTTTTTAAAACACCGCTGATAATATTTCGAACAGACTTTTATCTGCTCGTGAAACTCTGAAAGACGCATTTTTTAAAGTTTATAAAACATTCTGTAAGTTTTTTAAATGAAAATACCTTTAATTTTGTTTTTCATAAGGTTTGCATTTCTACCTTCAAAATTATTTTTTAGCAATTTTCAAAATTATTTTTAAAATCATCAACGTGTGGTTTTTAAGAACTGAATTCAATGATGATGCATTTAAAATGCGTTTCAATACATAGCAAATGCATCGGACCATGAATTCGTATGATTGACTTTGAGACATTTTAAGCGAGAAATCATTTTAAGCTCACTTTATTTTTTCTTGGTTTCCAGTTTCGACCGAGTACTCACATTAAAATTTTCATTTTGAGAATTAACACTTTTGCCTTGTATTCGAGGTTGTTCTTTTAAGAAAAAAGAAAATGAGCTCATATTTTGTAGTAATTTGAATAGGTGAAGTTTGAAACAGCAGTTAGGGTAATGTAGTTTGAAGATAGGTTCGTTGGTTGGTTGACGGTAGAAACAACTAAAATGGTCTAAGAGATCAAAAATAATTAATCAATACTGAAAGTTGGCTATACAGTTGAATAGAACAAATTAAAAACAATTTTGGCAATAATTATGGTAACTAACTTGACATAAGCTGCCCTTTAGTTCATTTAAAATTCTGAAATATAATTTTTCAAATAACATTTGACTTTTTATTTGTAAATTTTGATAAAAATGATTGGCGTGTACGGCTTTGCTTTGCTATTTTCCTGAATTGCTATTGGCTGCTGGTTTTGACGAATCTGGAGAGGTCGGACTTCCGCTATCTTCCACAGTGGCTCGACCTAGGTTCGAACCCCCACCTCTACCACTACTGTTTTGCGTAGACGAGGAAGAAACTAGGGGTCTGGGGGATGTTTTGGTGTATGTGGTTGTGGTTGTGTTAGTGGTTGTGCTAGAGGAGGGGGGTTGAAGGGGGGAGGCGTGGGTGTGGGTTGTGGCGGCAGCGGCATTTTCTTCTAAGGATTTGAAGAAAGGTGAGTTGATAAATCTGTGATAGGAGTCTCGTTTCATAAGCTGATATATTTGGTTCTGTGCCTCCTCAAATGACTGTGTGTCGGGGTTGACCATGTTTCTATTGATGATCTCTCGTATCCGCGAGTCAATGCTAACCTAGAGGCGGAACAAAAACACATAAACAGATTCACTCTACCTTTGTCAGAAAAAAAAACAGTTCTACATTTATTGAATCAAAACCAGCAAAGAAAACCGCAGGCAATAGAAAAGTCGAAGTCGGGACAAAAGCGAATCAAGTCCAGATATTCCACAATATGATCTCATAGAATCATGAGATTGATTATCATAATTGATACAAAAAAATGAACAACTTATACACAGGGGCGAAGTGAAGCTTCGCGCCACTTTCAATACAGCACAAACATAAAATCACAAACTAACCGACGAAAATTAAGACAAACGATGAAAACAAAAAAACTGAATTTTTCGTTTGAAAGTTGAAAAGAATTTATACTACCAACTTTCAAACTTTATACAATTTTATGGCATGTGTTGATTTTGTTTTGAATAAGGTTACATTGAATAAACATGCCAAGTAAGACAAATGAATGATAATTAAGCACCGACAAAAAACATACGAAGCGGTAAAAAGCCGAAAACTCTTGAATAGACACACCCGCGTTGCCGTTTCATGCATAATAATAGAATATTGTGAATAATCATGGTCTGTCTGAAAAAAAATTCAAAATATTCAATTCTAATCGATTAATAATCGACTATAGTCCAAACAAAGTAGAAACCAATTTCAGCCAAGATAATCAACTGAATTGGATTATAGTGAGCTGTGATGGATTATAAAAGAATCTGATCTTTTTAAGCAAAAATCTGGATTTTCCAAAATTGTTCCGTATAGATTCAAAAGATAAACATTGTAATAGTCAAACTGTGACTTACGTTCGGCTTGTAAAATTCTCGTATTGATTTCTATTTGTTTTTTTTACGATATGTTTGTCAATATTTCTTATTTGCATATTAAAAACCGAGTAGGCTGTAAATATTGGACGAAAAGCCGCAAATTGGAAATTTTGGAAAAATTATAATCCATTATAAAGGATTTTAATTGGATTGTATTCGATTTAAATGCTTCAAAATTGATGGATTATTTTCAATTTCGTGGTCTCAAAATGTAAGTATAATCGATGATGTAACTATTTCAACATGAGTACGAAAAATGTTTATAATCAATTATTACCAATTGAACTTCGTTTTTGGGACGTTGAGCCGAAACAAAAACTGTTTTCATAAACTTACAAACTCAAAAAACTTCTAAGCCAGCCCCCTTGTCAAAAAATTTCAAAAAAAAATCTCATAAAATGAATCAAAATGAAGCAGCTCAATCACCAAAAAAACTAGGAGCGGAATTTTTAAAGGCGAATAAAGATGTAAAGAGAAAAAAGAACAAAATTTTTGTTGATGAATTTACAGTTAATAAAAATACAGCCAAAATTAAACATTGCTTGTAAAATACTTCACACGAAACACTTCTAAAAAGAGCGTATTATCGTACGAGCAATTTTTTATAGCGTATATCAATACGAGCTATTCAAAACATTGACTAGGCTTTTATATAAAATCTTGAGGACAGAATTCCTAAAAAAATTCAGTTTTGGACGCAGAGATTAAGATATTGCAACATAAAGGAAATTTCACAGGCAAAAATCCTCAAACAATAGTTGTAAGCATTGAAAAACAGTTAAATTTTATACAAAGTTTTTTTGCAGACTTTGCTGAGACAGTCAGCAATCCTAATGATAGTTATACATCACAAATAAACAAAAACTATAGATCTTTTTTGGTGTTATATAACAATAGCTGGTAGGTTGAGTTTCATTAGCTGGACCTCTTTTTGCTATACTTCGCACATTATTTATAATGTAATTCAAAAGTCAAATTTTTTGGCAAAAGAAGAGTGAGATTTGAATTTTTGAATAGCTAAAAGTAGTACCTTGAAATTAATTCGTGCACTATGCTCAAAATTACCACCTATTGTATCATATCGCCCTTTTTTTAAAGTTGGATTTTTTTCTTCAAAACTATAGTTTTAGGATTACCTTAGTACCTTATTAGTACTTATTATTACCCAGGGGCTATGTGACTGTACTGCTTAATTACAGTCACATAGCCCCTGGGTACTAATAAGTACTAATAAGGTACTAAGGTAATCCTAAAACTATAGTTTTGAAGAAAAAAATCCAACTTTAAAAAAAGGGCGATATGATACAATAGGTGGTAATTTTGAGCATAGTGCACGAATTAATTTCAAGGTACTACTACTAGCTATTCAAAAATTCAAATCTCACTCTTCTTTTGCCAAAAAATTTGACTTTTGATTTAAATTATAAATAATGTGCGAAGTATAGCAAAAAGCGGTCCAGCTAATGAAACTCAACCTACCACCTATTGTAATATAACACCAAAAAAGATCTATCGTTTTTATTTATTTGTGATGTATAACTATCATTAAGATTGCTGACTGTCTCAGCAAAGTCTGCAAAAAAACTTTGTATAAAGTTTAACTGGTTTTCAATGCGTTTTTCAATTTGTATAATCTCTGATATATGAAAACAATTTATAATTACTAATATGATTGTTTAAAAATGCACTTCCAAAAATGGGTCGTGTACTCGTTTAGAGGTGACGTTTTTGGCTGTGTGTAGTGTGTACAGAATAATACTACTGACTGACCTCTTTGGGGGAGAGGACGGAGATGAACTCCTCGTAGATCTGTTTGCACTTGTCAGTGATTTGTGAGTTGTCCCTGATCTCCTTCAGCTCCTCACACGCCAGCCAGAACATCATGTTCTCCTCACTGTACTCGCTCCTCAGGAAGTGACGGAAGCTGTCCTGTCCACCTAAACCAAAAACAAACAAACCAACTTTACATTCATCCCCTAAAGCAAGGCATTCTGTTATCTGCATTGCGAGTGAGTGTTATCTTCAGCGCCCCATTCATAATTGTTCAGCCAACCCAAATCAAGCGTTTTACAGGATAAAAAACTATCGAAAAAGTATAGACCATATTCGTAGTGACAATGCTCGTAAATTTCTTTTCTAGGGGTAAAAAACAATCAAGTTAGTACACGCAAGTTTTACCAACAAGTAGTTTGAAACAAAAAAAATCAAAACTATTCCCATTAAACTGAAAGTTTGTGAACGGAAAGGTTGTTTTCTTCAGATCAATGTTGACTTTTTAATGAGTAACCTTTTTACGGAACTTTTTATATCATCCGAAAGGTATTGTTGTCCTGAGCTTGAATTTAAAAGACTAATTCACTTGTGATTGTCTTTCGTACAAAGTTAAAGACTGCTAATTTGGGATAATAATTGCGCAATATATTTCGTGCTACTGAATCGTAACCGGTTGTTCAATCCATCATAGAAATTTTTCAAAATTGAATTGGCATGGTCTTTTCAATATTTTGCCACATGCCAAATAAATCACTTTCAACATTAAATAGCGTTTGGAAGATTTTTTAAAAAATAATAATTAAAATTTTTTTGAAACTTTCATTAAATTTTCTAAAGCAGACATTAATCCATATATCTTAAAAGGCAGTCGAAACATTCAATCTTCGTAGAAAGTGCGGAGTATTTATGCTCGGGGGGATTTTTTTATTCAGTCAATTTTCGTCTTTTTACCTGAGCGTGTTGGACGGAAACTTTTTGAACAATCCGAAAGATATTTTCAGAGCTCATTTTAAAATTTTCAGAGCTCAAAAGTTGTTCTGAGCTCATTTTAAAACAACAATTTGACTGTGATCTTATTTTGTAGTGTTCTGGGGGCTTGAAAATTGCTAATTTGGTCAATTTGTGACAGTTAAAGTGCTATATTTTGTGTTCTTTTAACATACGTGAGTGGCAAAATAATGCGTTCCCAATTGAATGAGCCCGAACCTTAGCCCTAATTACCCTGTTTGTTGTGTTCTACACAGCGTATGCTGATTTGGGGTAAAATGAGGGAAAAAAAACTTTTTTTTTGTTTGTTTCGAATATTTAGTCAATTAAGCAACCAAAAAACAAACTTTTTTATTTGCCTTAAAGTACAGAGAGAACATTCAGGGCTTCGCCTTGATAAACGAAAAGCGTTGTTAGCTTTCAAACAAAATGTGAAATTTGAATTTTCAGCAATTTTTCATAATAAGGAAGGAATTTCTTATGTGCCTTTTTATCTAGATCAAACTGAGAGCAGACGAGTGAGCAAGCGCTTCCTTCCGCTGACATTTTTAATCTCCTCGCCATTCAAAAGGATACTCAGTTCCTCTGTTAACGTGGTGTTACGAAATCAACAACTTTGCCGATAAACCTGTTGAGCTTTGAGAAGCGCATCACTCCAATTCAATATTAATTTTGAGGGGACATCTTGAAAAAAAAACTTTTTTGTTCAATTTTATCTAATGAGCTTGATGCGATAAAAGTTTTTTCAAAATAGGAACTAACTTTTATCTTTTGATATATTTCTAATGAAAAAAATCGGCCAAAACATTTTGAAAAAGTGCTTGATGTACGGATTTCCCGTAATTGATATCCAATAGTTGCTGGTAAACAATTTTTTTTTCAAAACTATATTTTTGCACAATATCAAATATCAAACGGTCAAGTTTGATAGTACAAACTATGACGACCAATTACTTTGCCTCAATTCACTTTGAAACGGTTTTGTGGTGCGGGGTAGTTTGCCTCGCATAAATATTCTTCACAGCGCGCATAAATTATACAATGTTCCAGAGCAGGGCCGGACTGGCAATTTTAAAACCCCCAAAATTATATGTAAAAAAAATAATAGAAGCTAAAATAGAATTAAAAAATATTGGAAACTACCATTAAGGTATGAAAATTGGTTAAAACTTAATCGGTTTAAAGTTTAAAATTTCCACACTTTGACCAAAAAACTACCACAAGCTTAACAGAAAATCAGTTTAAAATTTCCGAAATTTGACCAAAAAAAACCACTACAAGCTTAATATTCCGCGTTTTTTAGCAAATATTTGAAAATTTAATCTGACCCCATTGGATCAATCTGATTAAGTGGCTTTACTAAATTATTACGCATATTTCAGCCTCTTCAGGGAAACCAATTTTTCATTTTCCCAGAAAAACTGCAAAAAATCCCACAGTAGTTTTAAACACTAATTTCTAAATGCCACATTTCAGCTTCATTAATCACTTAACTTTTATCATTTCTTTGTGTTGAATAAGTCTGTGCCTCTTGCGAAGTAACCGGATATTGATTTTTCCGTACCTGTACAAAACAGTCCCATACAAAACAGTCCAAAAAACAGCCGCAAGAGATAAGTCTTTTAAAAATTAAGTGGACTCTGCAATTTGTTGGCGGGTTTCGCAAATTGTTAAAGTTTTCCGGAAAAAGCGTGAAAGTTATTGTTTTAATCCACAATTTGGGAGTAGATTTGTGCAGTTTGGACTTGTAATGAATCTGCTTTTAGGCAGACTGATTCCAATAAAATGCTTTCATGAATGTTTCGGTATATTTTGAGATCTCATTTCCATCAGAAAGATGTAGAAAAATAAAATTTAAAAATTGTTTTGGCTCCTACCCATAAATGGAAAGGAACTTTGAGTTTCTAAGAGTTCGTTACACAAAATCAAGAACAAATTAAGTATCAATAAAAACAAAACACTATTAAAAAAAACAGCTTGATATCATAGAAAATTCTTGGTATTGAGAAAAAAAGTCTGATATTTTCTATAGTTCAGAAAAGTGTCACAATTTGAAAACGATATTTTGGCCGATTGAGAAACTAAAACCAGCTTTTTTTTCAACCAATTCAGATTTATTTACACTATTGTCCAATTTCACTATAAGTGCAGTGAATTTTTTTGAGAAGAGCAAAGGCTCAAAAAAGCGTGCATTTCTTCATAGTCAAATAATCGTTTTGTGCAGAATATAAGCTACGCGCAGAGGAAGCCTTCAAATACAGTTTATTCTGGGTTGATATTTTGCTGATGTTGCATGCCAGCTTAATTACATGTAAACGGAACTTTGGACCGTCGTGATTATGTTTTTTCAGCTATCAGAGGGTTCAGCTATGAGAAATAACAGCAAAAGAAGCATTTGATGTATTGCATTTTGATGTCCTAGTTAAGCGGACGTAAGTGACAAACTCAGGCGAGGCGATTGATGAACGGTAAGAAGCAGCTCCGGGTAAAAATGAATATTTTGGCCACTGACCGAGCGAACAAAGTATCCCTTCGATAGTTTAATTTATGCCATTTGTTATCCTGCTTCTGCAGCTTTGTTCTATCCCAAATAGCTGCAACTTGAATGTTTGATTACTACTTGAAGCAAAAGTTAAATGTTGAAAAAATTGATTTTAGTTGCTTTATCAATTTGCGGGTATAATTGAGATGCGTTAGTAATCCAATACTCTAAGATATCGTAAAAAGAAAATTCGGGTCGTAAAAGGAGGAAAAGCGGCCTTGTGAAAGTCCTTGATCTCTCAGTTTACCCCCGGGGACTCCCTAATCCTAAAATGAAGTAGCTTTTACCAGTCTCGTTTTCATAACCCGCTGTTTTTGATCGCACGAAAAAATGGCAACCGGTAGAACATTAAACAAAAATTATCTCAAACTAAAACCTAACATCAGCGGTAGATTTTCGAAGAGAAACTTTTTCAAAAACTGGAAAATTTGTCTTAATACAATATCTAGCAAGCACTATTTTGAAATCATTTTCAAAAACATTTCCCTTCAAGTTTGCTGTGTGTCCATTGAATCAATAAACTACCCCCCCATTCCCCACTACGCCAATTTTCTGCAAAAAAAATTACCATCTGATCAACTATAAGTCTCTATCTGTTGCCAACACCAGTAAAACGAACGACAACGATTGAAAAGCAACTACAAAGTAAATTTTAGCTTTGTAACCAATTAACAATCCCCTCCATCACCTATGGAACCTATTATAAAATACACTCCATCTATATTGAACGATAAATTATTTATGAAAAACACAGACCACAATGAAGTTTGACCAAAAATTATTTTGTTGCTTGCCCCCACCCCCTCAAAATTATTGATTTATATAAAACCATAAGTGCATTTTCAAAAGTTTTAGCTTTGGCCAACCAAATATGGATGTCATTTAACAATACACAACGGGGGCCTTGGGGCAAATTCAAGTGTCGAATCCCCGAGGAGAAGAGTCCCCCCAGCGGATTTCTTCTTCATTCTTAGCTGCTAAAATCATTCTTTTGCTAGATTGAATTTTTCTACTCCTGTAGAATAATATATGCCTATAATGACGAAACATCAGTCATTTTTGCGCAGAGCGCAATACACAGGAGACTTAAGAGTGGTAACATTTATAGAAAAAAGAGGAAATTAGTTCTTCTAGAGTGACGAGACTTCAAACTAAATATTATTTCTTCAACTGATTGATGCAAAAAGACTACTGTAAATCCACGTCTTAAAATGCGTTAAATGGCTCTTTAGAAGCAAGCAGACAAGCTAGTATAAATATAAATATAGGCGGTTAAGATACAAATATTTTCTGCTGACTAAATAAATTAAACTTAATGAAATTAGCCCGCGTTCAAAGAGTCCTTGGAGAAAAAGTTAAGCCGGTAACAGCATAAGAAACACATACTGTTCCATCACAGATAATAAGACATTTAAAAAAATAAGTCACTTAACTTTTTGAAATATTTTTCGATTTTTTCCCGGCTTTTCCAGTTTTTCCCTACTGTTGGAGAAAGATGGGAAAGTGTTGACGAATTCTTTTTAGGTCAAAAGTTACGCTAATTTAGAATAAATATTAGTTAACTAAAGTAGGTCACTTGAGTAACATGTTCTTCGGTGGAATGCAAATCAGGATTAAAATTTTTTATTGTGATGCCAAAAGTGACCCTTTACTAACTTGGGAGGCGGAGCAAAAAGCAGAATGGTCTAAGAGCAGAATGGGTCGAAGAGCAGAAGAACAGAAAAAAAAACTTTTATTGATTTATACGGGCTAATTGATAAACTGATTATTATAATCGTCAGTAATACCAAGAAAATGAATAAAACAAGCATGAATTGAATAGTTTTATCAAGTGTCGCGATTAAGTTATTAAAGTTATGCATAAACTATTGCTTCTTCGGTACTATTGAAAATTCTTATACTTAATTTACCGATTAGATTATAAAATTTGATATTTTTCTGTTTTTCTGCTCTTGGACCCATTCTGCACGTAGACCACTCTGCTTATTGACTGGCCACCACTAACTTGCTGCCTGAAATAGCGCGGAAAACACTCCACCCTACTCCACAGTTCCTTTCCATTCGTTGCATGGAGCGGAAGGAAGTGAAAGGCGTTAAGTTTAGCTTCTTGATAAAATTACAAATTAGTTTGGACAATTTTTTCTTAAAACAGAAAGCTGCTCTAAATAAAACAAAAAACGGCAAAAGAGGTCTGGAAGAGGCAAAAAAAGAGGTCTGGAAGAGGCAAAAAAAGAGGCTCTATCGCCGTGATAAGAATCGATACTAACAAATCACCACTGCAACACATCTATTTATACTCATGCTGTCGACTAAAAACTCCTCGGCAGCAAAAAAAATCGATTAAGTTTTGCGGATCGATTTAAATGAGATTGTGCAGGAACAGAGCGCAGGAGCATTCGCCAACAAGAAACAATTAATTTAACGGTTTTGGCTTCAAACACAAAAACTTCGAAGCACGCATAAACTATTCCAGAACATTGCCAAATTTTGATAAAACCATTTAGCTTGCCTTAATTGATTTTGGGTTAACTTCGGAACCGGATTTTTAAAATCCATAAAAATCACAGATAAAATGTTTTTCTCATTTTGAGCTCAGGGCATCTTTCAGATCCTAGAAAAACTTTCCGTCGGAAAGTGATTGTTCAAATATTGAAATTTGACTTGGGAAGAACCCACTTATATCAAAAAAGTTCCGTCACTTTTTTTGAGCATTGAAACAATCATCGTATCAAAAAATGTATTTCTACAGAAAAGCTCGCATATCATTTTGCTTCACTGTTTGAATGCACGCCGATCGATTGAAATTGTTGCTCCATTTAAAAAAAAATGGGACGGAAGATTTATGCTTGGGTTGGTCTCTTATATTTTTCAGCCGAATTTTGAAACAACAAAATCATTCGATCGGCGTGCAGTCAAACAATGAAGCAAAATTGATAAACCTTTTGGAACAACAAATTCGTTCGATCGGCGTACAGTCAAACAATGAAGCAAAAAGGATAACTCGCACTGACAAAAATGGATTAGGATCGATTTTAGTATGAAAAAAGTACGGTAATTAAATTTAGATCGATGTTAGAATGAAAAAAGTACGTTGATTAAATTTAGATAGATTTTAGTATGAAAAAAGTACGTTGATTAAATTTAGATCATTTTTAGTATGAAAAACGTACGAAGACTAAATAAAAAAGATGAAGATTGATTTGGATCGATTTAAAATCGATTTAAATTGATCTTACATCCCCGCTAAAAAAATTGATCCAAGTCGAATTTAAATCAATGTAAAATCATTTTTCCAGTCTGAACTTCGTTTTATTTTTAAAGGGATTAAAACGGATTTAAATCGATTTTTTCCACTCGAGTTTTATCAGTTTCAAATTTTTATTGCATTTATTTTTTGCCTATCTTTTTTCATTTTCATCCATAGCGTATTGTAGCATAAAAAAGACCAAATAAAAGGACTAAAATATCGATAAAATTTTATGATTTTCTTGCATATTTTGGGTTCAAAAACTGATCTATATTTACCCTTTTCTTAATTCGTTTCATAAGTTGTTGCTTAAAATCTGATTTACTTTCATGTTTTTCTATAATTTTATTGCATGTTATTGACATCACAATTTAACCTTACCTGACCCTTTTCTGCTTTATTACACAAGATTTTGCCCATAATCTGATTTACATGATTTCTATGATTTTATTGCAAATTTTTGAGTTTGAAACCTGATTTATGAGGATCATTTTGTTGAATTCTATATCATCTGGCAGAAGCGTTTATGTTTAAAACTCGAGAATAAAAAATTCCAATATATTTTTTGAAGGGTATGTTTTTTTTTCGCCGTGTTAGCAAAAAAAATCGATTCAGGTGTGTAGGAAAATCCATCAAAATCGATTTATATTGATTTTTTAGACACTCAAATTGATTTAAAATTTTCAAAAAGATCGATTTAAATTGATTTAAAATCAATTTAAGTTCGTAAATTGTACATGGTTAATCGATTTGGATCGATTTAAAATCGATTTAAAATCAATTTAAATCGACCGGAAACCATTTCTGTCAGTGCGGGAAGCGTTTCTGCAAAAATACATTTTTTTTATACGACGATTAATTCAGTTCTCAAAGAAAGTGACGGAACTATTTTTTGATCTGAGTGGTTTCATCTCCAATCTACTTTTAATGTTTGAACAAACAGTTTCTGACGGAAAATTTTTCTACGATCTGAAAGATCCCCTGATCTCAAAATAAGAAAAACATTTAACCTGTGATTCTTATGGATTTTCAAAATCCGGTCCCGAAATTAACCCAAAATCATTTGAGGCAAGCTAAATGGCTTTATTAAAAATCGTAGATGCAAAATATATAAAATTGTACTTATGATAGCGTGTGTGTGGATGGATGAAAAAGTTGTTTCAGGGATTTCCTTAATACGAGCAGTCTTGCTTAATTTATTGATTATCTAATGCTTACAAACCTTGAAATCTGTAAACAATTTAATGTAGCCAACTGGTTCTAATTGGAGTGCATATGCATTCAGTAAAAACCCTTTAACGTCTTTGAGATAAAGTTAGGACCAGCGATAGGCAGTATTTTTGCTGAGGAAAGAAGATAAAACTTGGAAACTTTTCGTTTTGAGCCTATTTAATCATGAGGCTCATTAATTAGCTGCCTAAGCTACGCGCTAGTAAAAAAGAGGAATTATGACTTGCAATATTAATAAAAAGTTGGACTTGCAAATTTCAAACCATCAAAAATTTACAACCAAGACCGCTCGTTTGTCAATAATGATATAATTTTTGAAAATTAAAAAAATTAAAACTTTTTTTTTCATTTTTTCTCTTTTTTGTCACCAAACTCGCTATGTATAGCATAAGGTAAAAAAAATTAGGATTTCTTTTTGTATTATTTGGACCAGTTTGCCTCAATTCAGTTCAGAATGATTTAAATCGCCGCTTATGCGTTTATCAGAATGCATATCGCGTGTTATTTATTCCAAAATGGACAAACTAGCAACTTTCGAACCCACAGTTGGCCACAAATAATGTTCAGAGGTGAAATTGCTGTACACTTGGGCACAACACAACAATATCTTTCAGATAGTATAAAAAATTTCTAAATTTCTATGTTAAAATTTCAAAATTTGACCGAATAAAAAGCATGAATGTTCCGTCACTTTCTACTATCTATTAAGAAATATCGTTTCTCAAAAAACTCTAAAAAGGCCCTAATGTTTTCTAGATAGTCATACAGAAACTTGAATTTGTTGGTAGAAAAAAAACTTTCCAAGCGCAATTAACCTGGCACTTTCTTGGAAAGTCGGATCAACACTCAAGCCACATAACGTAAAAAATCTTTTCTAGTGGTTGTGACGTATTGATATTCAAAAATCACAAATCAAATATGCGTTGAAACGAGTTAAAATTTAATAAAATATACTGTCGGTGAACGAACAGAACAGTTGATAGAATCTTGAAAAAATGCATTTTTGAACTCGGTTTCTTATTTGAAGTTTTCCCGCACTGAGCGCCCATGGATCAAAATCGATTGAATTGTGCTTTATTAGTCAGTATCTAAGAATGTAAAGTATTAAAAATGGTTTATGCTTCTAATTTTGTTTATATTCTGATAATCGAAAATATGGATTTTTTTGAGAGGTTTTTGATGAAAATTGCAATTGCTTTGAAAGTTATATCATTTCTTGTTCAGTGCAGTTGCTACTTATTACTTTTCATAAAATTTTAGTTTTCACATAAGGTTTTATATTTTCAAGTTTTCTCAATTTTTTCCATTTGACAGTTTAACATTTTTTCATATTGTTTTACCATCGCCATGGTAAAAAATCGCCCTTCGCCTGCTTATCATCGCCATTTGTCTACCTACCCCCCCCCCCCCCCCACCACCACATTCGAGTAAGGGAGGGGGTGTTTAGTTTAATGATTGAACGGGGGGAATAAAATAGTTGAACTAACGAATGGCGGGGATCACTCAATGTAAACTCCAACGCCTTTTTTAACAACACCAACAGCCCCGTTGTTCGCCGGTTTACTCCCCTCCCAGTTCCCAACCCTCCCCCCAGTGGTGTGTCCCCCCCCCCCCCACTTGGAGGGTTGGGTGTATAATGAAACTTAAAGGGTTGGGTTATAATGAACTTCTTTAACGAATTATTTTTTCGAAATAATCGATTATAACGGCAATATAATCCATTTCATGGTCTGAATTTTACATCTGTAATAGATTATAATCAGTAGCGTGCCGAGAAGGAGGGGGGGGGGATATAATTTTACGACATCCATTTTTTGCTAAAAAACTTTACAATTTTTCCAAAGGCGCCTTTGGTGCCAATATGAATAATTTTGAGGGGGCGCCGAAAAAACCAACTGTTTGGTCAAATTTTTCCAAAAAGTGCCCAAAAACCTCGTTTTTGGCCTGTTTCTTGAAAAATTTGCCTGCGGCGCAGAAAATTTTAGACAAAATAGGCTCCCTATAGTACTTTCGATGAACTCCGAAAATCACATTGGTCAACCGAAAAATCGATTAAAATCCATTGGCGATGGCTGCAGGTTTACTAAATTAAAAAATGAATAAAAATGATATAACTCACGCGTAGTTGACATCAAGAGGTCGAAACTGCGTTTCCATTGCTCCAGTTCCGCGTTAGTAGCGCTGATTCTAAACATGTTGCCCAGTATAGGTAATCAGAAGTACTTAGACAAAACACGGTATACTAAACAACAAAAACGACTGCGATAAAAAGCAAGAAAATAAGACTGAATCCGAGGGGAAGCAGCGCCTGTAGTCAACTCTGTTGGTATAAAGAATCCGTATTAGATCCGTATAGGCAATATTATTAACACGATCAAATTAAGAGCAGAGTAAAATAGAGCAGTGCTATTTTTATAACATAAATATTTTGCCTTATTTTATATATTTTGTCTGATGAGAATGAGAGAATACAGTCTGTATGAAGGGAAAAGGGTAGAGTAAAGTAAAAACTAGAAGCATATGAAATTTACTCTTAAAACGTTTCCATATACTCTCTCTCTCTCTCTCTATCCCAGTTAGAATTTGAGGTTCTCAGTATAGCAATATATTTTGAATTGAGAATAGACCTTGGAGGTGGGAATAACGAACGTGATAGCAAAGCAATTTATAGTAAGGGCCCTTATAAGCTCTGTTTCCCCATCTTGTAATTTATAAAGTGAACACCAAAATAATCCACTATTAATTTTTTTTTTTCGACCAAAATGAGAGGAGTCATTTCAAAACCATATTGGTCCAACTAAGACAAAGTATTAGCAAAACTGCGTGTCAGGATATGAAGAAAGCGCGATAAAACTAAGCATTAACATCAGCCTGTATTAAAAAATGCAAATAAAAAATATTGACGAAGATGAAAACTATTGCTGCGCAGTTTTTTAAATATTGAATGAAGACTAAATAAGCTGGCAACCGAACCACTTTTTAATTTAAAAAGGGAGAAATATTCTTTTTTGCTTCAGTGTTTGAACGAGAAACGTGAAAAAATTGAGATGCTTTTTAACTGGTGTGAACAGATGTCTTTTTCCGATCATAATCATACAAATGTAAACATAGATGGCGTGACCGGAATGGAGGGAACGGAAATTTACAATGCTATCTTTTGCTATCAGAAATTGTTTCCGCATCTAATTTTTACAACTGAATTTACAAACAAACCAAAAAGAGCAAGATAATCGTCACTAAGAAAAATTTTACCGAAAATTCCTTGTCGTTGTCTGTGGTATTGCAATAACATAATAACAAATTGAAACCAGACTGCTCGTATCAGGGCGACGCCCTGATTTTTTCCCGACTGCCCTTTAACCTTTACGGAGCAGTGTTCCATTTTAAGTAATTAATGAAATTGGGTTTTTTCGGTTACACCCCCTAAATGATAAAAATTGAAAGTGAAATCTTTTCTTACAAAATGAGACTGAATTTACTTTGAAATGCAGGGCTGATATCCCGAGCGTTAAATCAAGCTAGAAAATGGCAAAAAGGGGCAAATTTAACGACAATTAAAACGCATTTGGCATCATTTTAAAGAACTTTATGCACAAAAAGCTTGGGGAAAATTGGAGAAAAAAAATGGAGAAAAAAAATCATTTTAAGGCCCAATTATAAAAATGCTTTGTTTTTACTAACCCCATAAAAATATCGTGCATTTCCTGGTAACAGTGTCCCAAATATATAATAAATGTTTTCATTTCAATTTTTATCTTTTCAGGGGGGTAGAAACGAAACGAGCCAGGAAATTTTCAAATAAAAACAAGAAAACAGAAATTAAATGTTTTTAAATTGTATGCCAAGCATTTTTTACACAACTACAAAAATTTCTAATAAAATCAAAAATTGAAGGAAATTTTCAAAAAATTGCTGAATCTCAAAATCATATAAAAGCTCAAACAACGACCCTCCGAAAAAAATAGATGCAAAATTTCAATTTTTGTGCATAACATAACGCAGACTAAAATTTTCACACAAAATTAGCCCAAACTACATAGATTGTTTTGTGTGCAGACGAATTTCTCCTTTTTGAGTTGTTTTTATATATGTTGAGATAAACTTCAGTCTGTCAAAAAACAAACAGCAGTTCACAATATTCAGCCAGTGATACTTTTCTATCCGTATTGAAAAATAAATTTACCGGCATATCTTTGAATACTGTTCATTTTCGAGATTCTTGCGAATTATTTCTCTTGTGAAAATTTTTTTACTGATTTTGTCGTTGGTTAAAAGAGTAAAAGTTATCGAAATTCATTTTAGGCGAAAAGTGGAAGTCTTAAATATTTCCTCATGGAGAAACGCGTGTCATAAATTTTCATAAAAGAAAAAAAAGCTTGTCATAGAGTTTTTTGACCAATTGCTGTATCAATGGTATTGCATGAAACTATACAATAATTTTTTTTCCATATATGAAAATGGTATGGCAAGCATTTTCGGTCAACCGTTCAAATTGGCCAAGCTGGCAAATTTCAAATCCTGTTAACAATGCAAAAAAAAAACACCATAAAAAATTTTTAAATATGAACTCAGAACAACCATAGCCAAAAATAACCAAAAATTCCCATAAAAACCACTAGTTAAGAATTCGAAACTTGTCTGGAGAAAAAGAAGACTCCGAGCACAAACTGTTCGTAACTTTTTCGAAAGCGGAATAAAAACATTTTAATATTATGATATTATCAGGCCAGTGAGTTAATATATCTAGCCTACAACGAATTTTGATTTCATAGCAACTGTCTTTGATAGAGGTTCCACCACATATGAGATCTTTTTCAACTATTGCCTTACCCTAGTGCCAATTTGGTTGGACTTGAGCAGTTTTGTCAGGCGAATAGTGTGAAAATCATACTATTTATAAAGGAATAGCGTTTATTGTTTAGTTTCTCTCCTGCTAATTTTAACAAGCTTCTTAGGGGCAAGTGTAATATCATGATAAAACTCAGACTAAATTAGACAAAAATCAATGAAAGGCTAAAACGAAGTTAAATTCTGCTACAATTTAAAACTCTATATAAAACTCTATTAACCTTGATTGTGTTTCCTAAAAAAAATCAAGTTATCTCATTGTAGAGAAAAACTATTCGAAAACGTTTCAATTTTCAGACTAAATTAGACAAAAATCAATGAAAGGCTAAAACGAAGTTAAATTCTGCTACAATTTAAAACTCTATATAAAACTCTATTAACCTTGATTGTGTTTCCTAAAAAATCAAGTTATCTCATTGTAGAGAAAAACTATTCGAAAACATTTCAATTTTCAGACTAAATTAGACAAAAATCAAGGAAAGGCTAAAACGAAGTTAAATTCTGCTACAATTTAAAACTCTATATAAAATTCTATTAACCTTGATTGTGTTTCCTAAAAAAAAGTCAAGTTATCTCATTGTAGAGAAAAAATATTCGAAAACGTTTCAATTTTCAGACTAAATTAGACAAAAATCAATGAAAGGCTAAAACGAAGTTAAATTCTGCTACAATTTAAAACTCTATATAAAACTCTATTAACCTTGATTGTGTTTTCTAAAAAAGATCAAGTTATCTCATTGTAGAGAAAAACTATTCGAAAACGTTTCAATTTTCAGACTAAATTAGACAAAAATCAATGAAAGGCTAAAACGAAGTTAAATTCTGCTACAATTTAAAACTCTATATAAAACTCTATTAACCTTGATTGTGTTTTCTAAAAAAGATCAAGTTATCTCATTGTAGAGAAAAACTATTCGAAAACGTTTCAATTTTCAGACTAAATTAGACATAAATCAATGAAAGGCTAAAACGAAGTTAAATTCTGCTACAATTTAAAACTCTATATAAAACTCTATTAACCTTGATTGTGTTTTCTAAAAAAGATCAAGTTATCTCATTGTAGAGAAAAAACTATTCGAAAACGTTTCAAATTTCAGACTAAATTAGACAAAAATCAATGAAAGGCTAAAACGAAGTTAAATTCTGCTACAATTTAAAACTCTATATAAAACTCTATTAACCTTGATTGTGTTTTCTAAAAAAGATCAAGTTATCTCATTGTAGAGAAAAACTATTCGAAAACGTTTCAATTTTCAGACTAAATTAGACAAATATCAATGAAAGGCTAAAACGAAGTTAAATTCTGCTACAATTTCAAAGTTACTTTAACTATTGTAGCCGTTTTTCCAATGAAATTTTGAGCAAAATTCCAAGCTATAACTGAAAGTTTGCATATGTCAGAGCTATTTAAAAATAAATAGTAACTTAAATTTTCTAAGAAATTTACATATGCAGAAGTCGGGCCCTTTTCGGCTTTTCTATGAAATTGACTCGATATCTGGACAACTTTCAGACTATTTAAAGAAAAACTAGCAGATTTTATTTACTGTTTCTGGGTTAATAAGATCGTTTTAAATAGTTTCTCTCGTTCTACCTTTTTTGAAGAAGGCAGCAAACTTTAAAAAAATTTCACCGCCCACTTTTTAATCTTTTCCTACTCCTTGCTTATCACCCCTTTTTTATTAGTATTAAATAAAAAGTTGGCCATATGTTCCTGGTAAAATGGTGGAAACAGTTCACGTCAGAGACTGGAATTGATAATGATGATATAATTTATTAAAAAAGCTAGGCTTGTAAGGTTTAAGCTGGCGGCTAAATAGAACAATAACTGTTTATATTGCAAGTGAAGATGTTTATAACATTCAGGGCGATGAAAATAATGCTTCTTGCAGCGAACAACTTTTCTTAAATGAAAATGCATTTCTCATTCTTTATTGAATTATAAATCAAAGTGTTTTCATTTCAAACTATTGACTGCAAACCAATTTAAATGTAAACACCAACAGTCAGTCGCTGTCTTAGTATCACAAAAATTTCCGAAAAACATCATTACTCAATAATAGTTGATTTTTTTTCGTTTTTTTTTCTCGATTTTCTAGATGAAATCAATTCTTTTGAACAATTTTTCATTTTGTTTTCAAAGTCAGCAAGCTTGATTATGATAAATCACATATTAAACAACAAATTGTTCATCGGAAAAAATCGATTCAAATCCGAAGCATTACTGAAAACTCATTTATATGAAACCTCACTTGACTCCTACAATTTTTCCTACAAGTTTTTTTTGAGAAAAAAGACAGAAAGTTTTCCTCATCAAGAGTGGTCGGAACAATATATTA